CCGCATAAACAGCCACCACATCAGCCCCAGCCATCCGTCCCCATCATGGTGCCTCACCACACAAGGCCATGCCCTGCTCCTGCAGGAACATCCCGAGGAGGGCCGCGCCAGCATCTACCGCTCTGTCATCATAAACACCTCCAAGGAGATGACGTGCTTCAGCAACTTCCCCATACCTGAGGACTTCCCCAACTACATGCACAACTCCAAGATCATGGAGTACTTCCGCATGTACGCCCAGCACTTCGACCTGCTGCGCCACATCCGATTCAGGGTGAGAGCCGCCAGGGTCTGGGCTGAGCAGTGGAACAGAGCCGGGGCACAGGGTGCCTGACGCCCGCTCCCCCTGCACCCAGACCAGTGTGTGCCATGTATCCAAACGCCCCGACTTCGCCGCCACGGGCCAGTGGGAGGTGGTGACGGAGAGGGAAGGGAAGCAGGAGGCGGCCGTGTTTGATGCTGTGCTGGTGTGCACCGGGCACCACACTGAGGCCCACCTTCCGCTGAGCACCTTCCCAGGTACTGCCCCACACCCGGCTATGAGGAGAGACCCCAGAAAGCTTGGCTGTGGCAGTCCCTATTCTCCCTATTGCTCTTCCTTCTGGCCTCAGCATTTCCCTGCCTTGAGGCAGCTCCAGGAGAGCTCTCATGCTCCCCAGGAAAGGGTCTGCCAGGGCCAGAGACACCTCCACAACTCAGTGTTTCAGGAGGTGACCCTCCAGCCCAGCGCCCAGGAAGCCAAGCATCCCTCCTCCCTGCCCACAGGAATCAACAACTTCAAGGGCCACTACATCCATAGCCGAGACTACAAGGACACTCGGGACTTCACAGACAAGAGGGTCGTTGTCATTGGGATCGGGAATTCAGGGGCAGACCTGGCCGTGGAGATTAGCCAAACTGCCAAGCAGGTGAGCAGCAGGATTGGGGTCCCAGTGGCCAGGGCAGCGCCTCGTGGGACACTGCCAGCTCCACAAGGACACCGGCACAAACATGCTGGCACAGGCACTGCTCTGTCCTGGTACTCACTGCAGCTGGCGGTGCTGGCTCCCACTATCCCAGCCTTCGTCAGCTGAGACTCGATCCTGTATGGATACCCCAATTTCCATCTCTGAGTCCTGGACTGGGGCTGCCCTTGGACCGCTCCCTACTTCCCTGCCCCTGCTAGGTGCTGACCACCAGCTCTCTCTTCCCTCCTGGTCTTTGCTGAGTGCTTGGCCAGCAGGAAGAGGACCTACCCTGGGGCAGGCACGTGTCTCCCCTGTGCAGCCCCTCAGCACCTGTAAAGCCTTCAGGAGGCAACGCTTACTTCCTTGCCCAGGTCTTCCTCAGCACCCGCCGTGGAGCTTGGATCTTCAACCGTGTTGGAGATGAGGGCTACCCCATCGACACAATCATCACCACCCGCACCAACGCGTTCCTGAAGAAGCTGCTGAGCCAGTCCATGGTGAGCAGCTCTGTGGAGAAGCAGCTGAACGCCAGGTTCAACCACTCACTCTACGGCCTGAAGCCAAAGCACAGGTGCCAGCAAATGCTCCCCCTTCCCAGGAGGGACCCTCTGCCTCCCGCGTGTCCAGCACTGCTCAGCCATTCCCATGCTCTGTGTGCCTGAGCTGGGCCAAGGCACCAGCCCTGGAAACCTGGTTAATAGCTGTGTGGTGCCCAGGCAATGCTCCGGGGAGCCACCACGGCCCCTTCCAGGGAACCTTGGTGCGGTGAAGCGGTACCTGCCAAGCAACCCTGTGGGAACAGCCCCACTGGAAATGAGCATCCCTGTGGACCCACATCCCCAGAGCAGGGAGCCATGGCTGGAGCACAGCACTGAGCAGAGACACCCACCGCAGAACTCTCATGGCTCCTTGTGCTTTCAGGGTCCTTGACCAAAAACCAACCATCAACGACGACCTGCCCAATCGCATCATTTCGGGCAGGGTGCTGGTGAAGCCAAACATCCAGGAATTCACAGAGACATCTGCCATCTTTGAAGATGGTACCCGGGAAGACATTGACGCTGTGGTCTTTGCCACGGGATACAGCTTTTCCTTCCCCTTCCTCGAAGGCTGCGTGAAGGTGGTGGAGAACCAGATTTCCCTCTACAAATTTATGTTCCCCCCTGACCTAGAAAAGCCAACACTGGCTTTCATCGGCCTCATCCAGCCGCTGGGTGCCATCATGCCCATCTCCGAGCTCCAGTGTCGCTGGGCCACCCGCATCTTCAAGGGTAAGCGAGACAAACCTCCCCTGTGGCTGCAGCCTAAGCCAGCACCCCTGGAGCTGGGTTAAAAGGTGCCCAGCCATGGCTGGGAGGAAGCAGCTGGCTGTGCCATCCTGGCAGAAGCCAATGGCATGGCCAACGTACATCCCAGCCGTTGTTGCCAGCACTGCCACGCTGTGGCTTATCCTCCCTAGGCTTGAACAAGCTTCCCCCACGACACTGCATGGAGGCGGATATCAAGCAGAAGAGAGAAGCAATGGCAAAACAGTAAGATCCCCCTGGGAACAGGGAGGGCACTCTTTTGGGTACAGCTGAGGTTGGGCATCTGTCCTGTCCTGTGCTGCTTCCAGGCACACTTGGCATTGCCAAAAAATGGCAGGGATGTGCTCAGCTGCTCTAAACCCACCCTTCTGATCCTTCCCAATGGTAGTCCATTCAGTACCACCTTGCTGGCGTGCGAGGCATCTGCCAGTTCTGCCTCTACCACCCGCTCACCCTCCATGTCCACAGGTACGTGAAGAGCCAGCGGCACACCATCCAGGTGGATTACATCCCCTACATGGATGAGCTCGCCTGCCAGGTGGGGGTCAAGCCCAACCTGCTCACCCTCTTCCTCTCCGACCCCAAGCTGGCGCTGGAGGTAGCCTTTGGGCCCTGCACACCATACCAGTACCGCCTCCGGGGCCCGGGCAAGTGGGCCGGTGCCAGGGAGGCCATCCTCACCCAGCGGCAGCGCATCATCAAGCCCCTGCAGACGCGGCTCGTGGAGGAGCACCCACCAGCTCCTGCCTTGCCCCTCTTCTTCAAGCTGGTTGGAGCTGTGGCCATCCTCGCCATCGGTTTTGCTTACTTTTAGGTGACCCACAAGTGTGCAAAGGGATGTGCCGGGCATGCGGGCTGTTCATCCCCTGCCCCCTAGTAACCTGTGCACCCCAGTGCTGGCAGGACCCCTCCTCCTGCCCCACATGGCCCCGCTGTGGCCACAAGCCCAAGATGCACAGAGCCTCCACAGCTCGCGAAATAACACCCCAGTGCCCGGTCTCCGCCTTTCCCCAGGAAGCCACAGCCAGGGGCAGAAGAGGAAACCTGCTCACGCACACAGTAAAATCCAGTCCCTCTCAGCCTGCTCGTTCAACCCAGTAGGGACACACCAGGCTTTTCTGTCACCTCTAACCCAGCCATGCGACCACTGGCACACTCACACAAGAGCTGAGCGGCAAAGGCACAGCAGACTTCCTAACTGGATAAATGCGTTAAACAGAGACAGGTGTCTTTCCCGTTATTGGCATCACCATGATACCCTGTGCGCCCACAGGACTCACACGGCTTTGAGGTTGCCTCAAGCCCACACCCCATGGCAGCACACGCTGCACACGTGCACACACATGCAAACGTGAGGCAAAACAGCCTCACTCAGGGTAGTCACAGTGGCACAGTTCAGTGTCACCCTCATCTCCTGCATGCAGGCCCCACTGCTGGGTAGCTGGGGACATGCAGCAGTGATTGGGTTCCTGGCCACTACAAGCCAGAGCCACACAGCTGCCGGCTATCAGGGCACTCAGCATCCACAAGCTTTTGTTTTCAACGCCATGACCTGCCAAAATCCGCAGCATGGCCGCATCACAGCCCTGAGCCCAGGAATTCCCATGGCAGCGTCAGCATCGTTATGCGCTCACAGGTCCTCCTGAGCCCTTTGCGCGAGCAGGCACAGGCAGGAGGTGTGGCAGGGCAGCAGGGAGTACCTGTAGGTCATATCAGCAAGCACGTTTTATGACAGCCCAGCTGATCTCAGTCAGGCTGGGGAAGCCCCCGAAGTGCCATCCCTAACCAAGTGGCACCGTGCACCCCCGCTGTGACCCACCAGGCTCCGCACAACCCCCACGTGTGTTTTGCCCCAGGACAAGACTCTCCAGCATCCCTGCCACCACCACAGCCCTGCTCTGTGCCAGCCTGCCCCACACTAGCAGCACAGCCAGCATTGGAATTGATTATTGGCAGGTAATGAAGCACCTCTCCCCTACTTTGCATATATATGACTATGAAACCACATGAAAGACAAAGTGCTGTGACATCGGGAGGCTCATGTCCTTTCACAAGCCCTTTCTTCACAGTCTCATCCACCCCTTCCCCTGCTGGTTTGTTCTTTGCCTCCTCCATTCCTTCCCCACCCACCCTTTTCCCAACTGACCCCACTGTCTATCCCAGTCCCAGTCCCTGTCCTGACGAGCCCTTGTCTGGAAGTCCAACTTCTTCCTCTCGCTGCTTCTGTGGTACTCACCCATGCAGAAGTAACGAGCACTTCCTCCTCTGTTGCTTTGGCTCTCCCTTCATTAGGGGAAACCCCAGAGCTCATTTCTGCCCCCACCTATTGAAGCTGTTTGTTGACTTTTCCCCTGGAAACCCACCAAGATGACAAGCCTTTCACAATGTCCTGATACACAGTGGTAAAGCCTGGGAGGGGTACACACCACACCAAGCCACAATGGGTTTTTAGTTGCCCCAGTTACAGTCCACTGGTTCTGCCCATGGTGGGTCAGAAAAAGGACTGAGGAAGCAGAGCTAGGGCAGCAGCACCCAGCTGCTGGGGCAGAGACTCATCAGGCAGGATTGGCCACATAGCTGGAAGAGCAGGAGTTGGCTCAGGAACTGGTGAGACCTGATGTGGCAGCTGGGGCAATGACATCATGGACAGCTTCAGGAATGCCCTGCCTCATCAGGGGCAGGGGTGGGAGCAGGGAAACTGAGGCACGAGACCCCACCACACGCTGATACCACTCATGGCCCTCTTCCCTTTTATGTGGGGTGGGCAGTCACATGCATAGGAGTGCTAAGTGGAGGGGTAGGTGCAATCACCTGTGGCTTAACCCTGCACCGGCAGGCACAGTGAGGCACCAGGCAGGCAGCCCTGGGGTCCCTGGCCAGTGCCAAGCCATGCCCCACTACCACAGGAGCACTCCGAGGAGGGCTGCGCCAGCATCTACCAATTTGTCATCACAACACCTCCAAGGAGACGATGTGCTTCAGCGACTTCCCCATACCTGAGGACTCCCCCAACTACATGCACAACTCCAAGATCATGGAGTACTTCCGCATGTATGCCCAGCACTTCGACCTGCTGCGCCACATCCGATTCAGGGTGAGAGCCGCCAGGGTCGGGGCTGAGCAGTGGAACAGGGCCGGGGCACAGGGTGCCTGACGCCCGCTCCCCCTGCACCCAGACCAGCGTGTGCTGCGTGTCCAAGCGCCCTGAATTCACCTCCACGGGGCAGTGGGAGGTGGTGATGGAGAGCGAGGGGAAGCAGGAGGCGGCCGTCTTTGATGCTGTGCTGGTGTGCACCGGGCACCACACTGAGGCCCACCTTCCGCTGAGCGCCTTCCCAGGTACTGCCCTGCGGACTGCTTGTTTGGTCCTTGACACCCCTGGGACCACCCTCCTCTTCAGCTTAGTCCCCACTCCACCCTGGCTACTGCCAAAATGCTCCCACTGAATAACACACCAGGCAGGATTACACGAGCATGCTGCTGTCCCACCTATCTTGGTGGTCTCTCCTAGGTGCCTCTTCCTGTGCCATCAGCACCTGACCAAAGTGCCTTGCTGGCAAGGCTCACTTCTGCCAGCTCATCTCCCCCATCAGCAACTGGCTCCCTGAGCTGCTGGCCATGCACCTGCTGGGCTCTCCAGCACTGCGGCAAGGCTTGAGAATTTGGTGCTGGTGTTAGCCTTCTACTGTTGGTGCCAGGCAAAAATGCCTGGAGGGCTTTCAGCCGTGGAGACCCTATCTGGCTGGGGAACAGGTTGGAGTACACCATCACCAGGGTCTGGCAGGCACAGGTCACAGCTGCTCCTCTGCCCCAGCACCTAGCACCAGGCAGGAACTGCAGGACAATTCTGGGATGGGAGTATGGAGGTCTTCAGTCCAAACCCTGCTGCAAGCCAGCCTAGCCCCAAAGCCAGAGCAGGATACTCAGGGCCACACTGAGCATCTCCGAGGCTGGAGATGCCATCACCTCTCTGGGCATCATTCCAGGGCCACACCGCTGCTGCTGGTCACCCTGTTCCCAACCTGTTCTCAAAACACACCACCAGTCTGAGCAGGGGGACAGCCACCCCCTACTCCACATCCCTGCCTAGCACGGCTTCTCTATCTCTCCCAGGACTGGAAAAGTTTGAGGGCTGGTACCTGCACAGATGGGACTTCAAGAGACCGCAGTCCTTCTCAGGGAAGCGGGTAGTCATGGTTCACAGTGGGCATTCAGGCATCGACATCGTGGTGGAGCTGAGCCACGCAGCTGAGCAGGTGTGTTGTGAGAGCCACCAGGACCAAGCAACCCCTTGCCATCCCTTGCAGGATCCCCGCCCTCCAGCACCCGGCCACAAGCACCCACCCCCTCTCGATGGGGATGGCTGTTGTGGTCCCAGAAGCTTTGCTGGGATCCCTGTCCAAGGAACATGGTGAGACTCCAACCCTGTCCTGAGGGTACTGCCACATCACCACCTCTCCTCTCCTTCCTTCCAGGTCTTCCTCAGCACCAAGTGTGGGACCTAGGTGCTGCACTGGGTAGCAGATGGGAGGTGTCCCTTCGACTTTTCCTATCTCAGCTGCTTCATACAGCTCTTCCAAAGCCTGCTGCCTCAAAAAGCCATCAGTTTTCTCTTGGAGAAGAAGCTGAATGCCCACTTCGACCATGAGCTCTATGGCCTGAGGCCCCAGCACCAGTGGGTGCCTTGACAGCACCCCAGCTGCCTGCTCCATGAAGTCCATCCTGCTGCCTATCCCACTGCTGGGGCACACACAAGGTCTGCCTGTGCCTTCCAGGGTCTTTGACCAACACCTGACCATCAACAACGACCTGCCCAACCGCATCATTTTGGGCAGGATGCTGGTGAAGCCAAACATCCAGGAATTCATAGAGACATCTGCCATCTTTGAAGATGGTACCAGGGAAGACATTGACACTGTGGTCTTCACCACAGGATACAGCTTTTTCTTCCCCTTCCTCGAAGGCTGCGTGAAGGTGGTAGAGAACCATATTTCCCTCTACAAATTCATGTTCCCCCCTGACCTGGAGAAGCCAACACTGGCTTTCATCGGCTTCATAGAGCCCCTGGGTGCCATCATGCCCATCTCTGAGCTCCAATGTCACTGGGCCACCTGTGTCTTCAAGGGTAAGCAAGACAGTCTGGGGGGAATTCAGATGGGCTCCCCCAGACATGGCAAGGCTAAGTTGTTCAGTTGGTGGCATCCCTTCACACACTGCTTTCCCCCCATCACCTTTTGATCTTCATTTTGCTGCTTCTTGGAGACAAAAACCAGCATTGCATTTTGCAACAAGCATAACACTGATCTTCTCTTGTGGGAGCCACTAACAGGTCCCATTGCCTGCAAACCACCTTCTCCCTTTCTTTTTCTGCTGTTACTTTTTTCGCCCATGCCTCACACTTTGCTCGTAATGTGGTAGCATGTCCCTGAAGCCTAAGAGGTTTCCATGTGCAAGCAAAGGCCAGGCTGGGCTGCAGAACCAGCCAGACTGTGATAGGAGCACAGCCTTTCCTCCCAGCTACAGCCTCCTCTTCCCCAGGGCTGCAGGACCTGCTGCCATCCACTGACATGCTGGCTGACATTCTGCAAACCAAGGAGAAAATGGCCAAGCGGTAAGGAAGCTGTGCAGGCATCAGCCCTGCCACTGTCACCCCTGTGCCCACCTGCCAAACCTGCCCAGTCTCCCTGCCCACAGGCACGTGAAGAGCCAGCGGCACACCATCCAGGTGGATTACATCCCCTACATGGATGAGCTCGCCTGCCAGGTGGGGGTCAAGCCCAATCTGCTCACCCTCTTCCTCACCAACCCCAAGCTGGCACTGGAGGTAGCCTTTGGGCCCTGCACACCATACCAGTACCGCCTGCGGGGCCTGGGCAAGTGGGCCGGTGCCAGGGAGGCCATCCTCACTCAGCAGCAGCGTGTGCTCAGGCCCCTGCAAGGCAATGCTGGGGACCGCCCTGCCCGCTCCAGAACCACATCCCACATCTTCAAGGTCTTTTTCAGCATCAGGTTGATTGTGGCCACCCTTGTGTATGTCTTGCTCTCTTCTTAACCTAAAATGAACAACCGGGTTCTCCTGGCAATCTGCTTCCTTTTCTTTGGGCTATAGTGTTTCTGTTGTCTCTTGCTAGGTCTGCCACTGATGCAAAGGGTTAACAAATATACAGGGGGGTTAAGGTTGAGCCACTTGCTTAACAATGTTACTGCTTGCTCATGCTTATCCTACATGGTATTTGCAATGTACAAGGGGATAGGTCACACCGCTTACTTAACAATATCAATTGGAAAAGCAATGGAAAATTCATGAATTCTTATGTATGCCTAACTAACTCCCCAAAAGCTCTCCTAGGGAGAGATTTACTGGAACACTTGGAAGTGACCATTTCTTTCAAAGGAGGCGAGATCACTTTGAAAGTAAACAACCAACAATATATATATAAAAAAAAAAAAAAGTTAAGTTTAGTTTTGGTTACTAACTAAGTCAAGGAAGAAGTCAGGAAAGATATACTGGATCAGGTATTCCCAGGGATATGGGATACGAACATACCTGGAAGGGCCAAAAATGCACCCCCGATATAGATAAAGCTCAAGGAGGGAAAACAGCCAGTCAGAATTAAGCAATACCCCTGAACAAGGAAAATAGGGAAGGAATTCGCACAGTAATTGCCTACAATTAAGACTGCTAAAGGAGTGCCAGTCTGATTTTAACACCCCTATTTTACCTGTTCATAAACCTGACAAGCCATATTGAGTGGTACGGGACTTATGAACTGTTAACAAAATAACTGAAGGTCTTTACCGTGTGGTAGCAAATCCATATACCCTATTAACATGCTTGACACCAGAACTAACTTGATTTACTGTTTTAGATCTGAAAGATACCTTCTTTTGCCTCCCTCTCCATGAAACCAGACAGAAAATCTTTGAATTTAAATGAGAAAGCCCTAAGAGTGGGCACAAAACCCAGCTCATGTGGACGGTACTGCCTCAAAAACTTAAGAACAGTCCCACCCTGTTTGGAAAACAGCTTTCAAAAGACTTAAGAATCCTAGGAGGCTCTGCCAGAAGAAAGGAAGTTATTGCAGTACGTAGACAACATCTTAATAGCCATCCAGACAGAAGAGGCCTGTGTTGCCTGGATGGTAAGCCTCTTAAATTTTCTGGAACTCCACGGATATAGGGTATCCAAGAAAAAAAACCAAATAGTAAAACAAAAATGATTTACCTAGAATATAAAATTACTGCTCAACAGCGAACACTGGAACAAGACTGAAAAGAGACAATATATCAAACACCAAAACCCCAGACGGTGAATGAATTATGGATAGTGTAGATTGTGGATCTACAATTATAAACTAATTGTTAAGCCTCTATATGCACTTATTGCCAATGGAAACAGAAACCTCCAGTGGACAAAGGAGGCCACATGGGCCTTCGACCAGCTGAAGAATGCTCTCATGTCAGCTCCAGCTCTAGGACTTCCAGACGTGAGTAAACCATTCTTTCTATTCTCCCATGAGAAAAAAAGAGATTGCTTTGGGAATACTGACACAGAACTTGGCAGAAAATAACTGCGCTAGTATCCCATACAGTGTCTGCAGTGCTGGAAATGAAAGGCGGACATTGGCTTTCCCCTCAAAGGTTCCTGAAATGTCAAGTCGTCGTAGTGGAACAAGATGATGTAGAGATTGTGGTAACTAACATTATCGACTCAGCTTCTTTCCTCAGTGGAAACGAAGGAGAACCGGTACACCACGATTACCTAAAAATCATTGAAGCCACATACGCCAGCCGTCCAAACCTGAAAGACACCCCTTTGGACGATGCAGAAACCTGGTTCACTGATGGGAGCAACTATGTCATCGGTGGAAAACAACATGCTGGATATGCAGTTACCACTAGCAGAGAGGTAATAGAATATGAACCTTTACCAATAAACACCTCTGCACAAAAAGTGGAATTAATTACTCTAACTAGAGCCTTAGAAATAGCAAGAGGATAAATATAAACAGCTATACAGACTCAAGTTATGCATTCAGGGTTGTACATGCACATGGAGCCATTTGGAAAGAAAGAGGACTGTTGAACTCAGAAGGAAAAAGCATCAGACATGCACAGGAAATAATGAGACTGTTGGAAGCGGTCCAACTACTTGAAAAGGTAGCAATTATGCACATCAAGGCACACCAGAAGGTGAGCTCAGAATTGGAGGAGGGAAATGACCTGGCGGACAGAGAGGAAAAAGAAGCGGCAAAAGGTGCGATGACAATAGAAGGGGCCCTAATTCCGGATGGGAAAATTTCCCTGGAAGGTAAGCCAAATTATAATAAGGAAGATCAAAACTTGATTACAGATCAAGGTGGAACCTTCAATGAGGAAGTGTGGGCTAGCACAGCACAGGGAAAAATAATAGTCCCCTCTTCCCTGTTACGGTCCCTAGTAAGAAATGAAATCAAAAAACACATTGTGGGGTGGATGCCCTACATAAATATCTAATAAGAAAAATTATGGCTAGAAACCTGTATGCCACTATCCAACAAGTAACTCATCAATGTGATCTTTGCCTCCAAACAAATCCCCAAAACAACCATAAGCCAAAAATAGGCCAAACTGGGAGAGGTAATGGACCAGGACAACAATGGCAGATTGACTTCACAGAACTGCCAAGAAAAGGGGGGTATAGATATTTGTTGGTGTTAACAGATACCTCTTCAGGTTGGCCAGAAGCCTTTCCAACTAGAACTGCAAAGGCCTGAGAAGTAACAAAAGCACTATTATAAGAAATAATACCACGCTTCAGAGTCCCAGACACTATGTCTTCTGACAGGGGACCACACTTCATTTCAAATGTGGTACAACAAATTAATAAGCATTTGGATATTAATTGGCAACTACATACTCCTTACCACCCCCAAATGAGTGGTCAAGTGGAAAAAACGAATCATCTAATTAAACAGCAAATTGTAAAATTAGGCCAGGAAGCCAGTCTACCGTGCCCCCAGCCACTCCCACTGGCCTTATTGAGAATTAGAACTAAACCAAAACCACAAGAAGGGTTGAGTCCTTTCGAAATTCTATATGGAAGACCATATGGGGTTCAGCAAGGAACATCTCCCCAGATGGGGGAGGAAATCATGAATACCTATATAATAGAATTAGGAAAACAACTCAGAAAGATTGAAAAACATGTGGCTGGAACACGGAGCAGGGGACTGGATAGCCCAGTACATAACATACAACCTGGAGATTATGTATATATAAAATCCTTCAAACCTGCAGGCAAAGAAAATCTTGAACCAAGGTGAAAAGGACCATTTCAGGTATTACTTACGACTTTCATGACTGTTAAAATCAAAGAACAGAACACCTGGATTCATCATATTCGAGTTAAGAAAGCTTCGAAGGCCCCTTGGAAAGTGACACTAGGCAGTAATAAGTTAAAACTAAAATTTATTCGAACGAGATAAATAGAAATGCTAAAAATTGTTTTATACGTAATCATTATATGCCATGGGGGGAAGGAATCTGATCTGTGGGATCCTGGATATACTGGATATATGGGTTCACAATTAAGTATTCAGCATCTAACCCTGTCTATAATAGTTTTACATGGTAATCAAACAGACCACCCATCTCCTTCTAAACCAGAAGATCAAAGAATAATTCAAAGGACTGTGGGAGAGACAATCAGGGTAGGATGTCAGTTAAATTATAAGAAAGAGAATATAATATGTAGAACACTAAAAGGCAAGAATAAAATTACCTATAGGTAACCAACTCAAATTAGTATAACTACCCTGACTAATAAACAGGTAACAATTTGTAACCAAATGAATAAAACAGATTGCTGGCATAATTTTACGTTAACACAGAATGTTGAGGTAGTTTGTCTCTGGGCTCAAATCCAAACTCCAAAAATTAGCACCCGAGTCCCAACTAACTTTGAACCCAAAATCTACAAAATAGGCCCATATGTAATAAGGAATACAGGCCAACAACAAATAATTTTTAACCCAGAATGGTCCCTTAAGAGTGTTGAGTTAACACGCAAATCAATATCTCCAAAACCCAACCAGGTTGTTTGTCTTTCATAAAGACATCCTCTGAAGGCTGGACATCATGGTTACAAAAGCAAGAACCTTTTAAGGATAGGGTACAAAGAGATCTAACTGTAATACTAGGAACAGGTTTAGGGGTCCTAAATGGGATTGATTCAGAAACATTAATGAATAAACTGGCCACTGCAACTAGCGAGCTAACAAAATTAAGGCAGCCCCTGCAGTCTTCCTTATTGGCATTAGGAACTAGCCAAAGGCAGATCTCAAAAATACTACCGAAATGGAAAAGAACTGAGGAACAGGACCATAAATTAATTCTAGACACACTTGGGATAGCTCAGGATAATATATCCTTAGCTCTAAATTGTAGACAAGCACAACTGTGGATGCACTCTATAGCTGCCTTAATTATCAAGGAAAGGAGTGAGGGCGTTTTTCCTGTTGAATTTCAAAAAGTTGTCTGGGATAATGCTAATGATTTGGAAAGAAAGCTTCAATCTTGGTGGACCCTAGTAAATTTCACCTATAACCCCACTACAAACATAGCTACAGCTTTTGTGCTCACTATACGAAATGCCACTATTTATGTTATTTACCCCATTATTGCATTAAGTTTAAACCATGAAGGAGCAATTCTTTACCCCTTCGAGCATAGAATGTGGGCTCGAATGGTAGATATGAAATGGCAGACTGTAAATTTAGAGTCTTGCATTACACGAGAACAACAAGGATTTATTTGTGAAGGCAACACAATTGATGCTGAGGACATATGCCTTGGTGTGGAGCAAGGCATCTGTCATTTTGAAGCTCATCTAGATATTACTCAGAAAACTGTAATTATATATACTGGCCAAAGTGGAAAGAAAATCTTAATTACTGTACATCATGATACAGAGAAAATAAATAACGTTCTTCTAAGGATAAGGCAAGACACAAATCACCATTGGTGGAATATACTTTTTGGGTAGTCACCCACCGCAACTGGCGTTCTAAATACGTTACTTCACCCTATCATTGTTCTTTTAATATTACTTGGTATAAGCTTCATATTCTCTATTGTGTTATTTGTTTGGAATTGGAGAATGTTGCAACTAGTAACAGCTCTGACTTCGTTGTCAAAGGTACATAGTAAAGCACTAAAAAATACCTTTCGTATAAGTTCACTAGGAGAAAAATCTATATATTAGTAAAAGAATTTACTAACTTTATAGAAAAGGGGGGACTGATGCAAAGGGTTAACATAGGTACAGGGGGGTTAGGGTTGAGCCACTTGCTTAACAATGTTACTGCTTGCTCATGCTTATCCTACATGGTATTTGCAATGTGCAAGGGGATAGGTCACACCGCTTACTTAACAACGTTACTGCTTGCTCATGCTTATCATCATACTTGCAATGTACCAGGGGATAGATCAGGACGCTTGCTTAACAATATCATTGCTCACTCATGATTATGTCAGGACAAGATATAAGGACATTATTATCAAGAAGTAGGGACCGTGTCTTGATTCCCATCCTTTGGACGCCTCCATGTATGCTAGAACTAGAGATAAAGACATAGCTATCGTTAAGAAGTAGGGACTGTGACTTGATTCCCGTCCTTTGGACACCTAGGCCGGCTGAAATTAGCTCTGCGCTTTGGACAAAGGCCAAGCCTCCAGAGAGCATGCATAACAATCAGAGGTAAAAAAGTTCAGGCTCGAGGAAGACTCATTTACTTCAACTCGAGACCCTCGCTCACGACCACTAGGAGGCACTGCGCAAGCGCAAAGGACTTCTTAGCTCATTATAAGCAGGAATAGGACATGAATGAATATGTGTGTTGCGCAACATCATGCATATGTATAACCTTAGAGGATAAATATAAAGGGGAAACAATGCTGAGGTGTGAGTGCTTTTGGAGGAGTTATCCCCCATGTGCCTCAGTGCTGAATAAAATGCATACCTACTTTACAACTTTAAGGTGTTGTGGAGTTTATCTGCGCATCACCACCACATGAAGAGGCACAAAGAGGCTTGGTTCCTTGAGACAAGAGGTTCAAAGAACCAAACCTTTGGTTCCTTGAAGGCAAAACAGACCAGACAGCCTGGTCTGTCTCGCCTTCCGGCTGCACCAGGGCCACAACAGGTCTTGTCAGGGGCAGCCCCGAGGGCAGGAATCACTCTGCGAGCTCTGCCTGTGGGTTGATCGGCAGAGAGGTGATGGGGCAACAGGGAACTTGATCAACAACGACACTTTGGGAAACGGGCAATAAAGCTAGTCCCCATGCAGAGGGGACTAGGGATCATGCTGTGTGGGCTGTCTCCGTCGCTGCTGTCCGTCCCAAGGCATCTGTCCTGTCCACACCGGGCCTGTCCAGCTCGCAGGCAGCACCGTGGCCATTGCCCCCCTCAGCCAGCCTGCCCAGCCCCGCAGACATTCCTGAACCCGCCACCTCGGGGCCACAGCCCTGCCCTCAACCAATATGGCCGCCCGCCGGCTGCGGCGCGGATGAAGCCGCGCAGCCCTCGGTGCGCCAGGCCCGCCGCCCTTCACAACAACGAGCGAAGCCGCCCTCAACAAACATGGCGGCTGCCCGGCAGCGGGAAAGCGGGTCCGCGGGAGGGAGGGAGGGAGTGGGGGCGCGGCCACAGAACGGCGCGCGGGGGCGGGCCAGAGCGCCCCGCAGAGGCTGGTGGCGGCGGCGGTGGGGGTGTCGCCATTTTGGACGGAGGCGGAGAGCGGGGCGGTGGTGGCCAGGTAGGGCTGCGGTCGGGAGCGGGGGCTGTCGGCGGGTGTCCCGGCGGGCCAGGCTGAGGGTGGGCGGAAGGCGGCTGGCCCGGCGCTGCTTCCCGAGTGCTGCTGCGGGAGACGGCGGGTGAGGCTTGGCTGGGCATCCCCATGGGTGACAGCGCGGTGGGTAACGGTGGCCTGGACCCCTCATTGGTGGCCGTGGCCTGCAGCCGGCTCGGAGCACCTCAAGAGCACCCTGTCTCGAGCCGGTGCGGCCAGCTTCTCCTAAGGGCCGTGGCAGGCACCCATCAGGGAAGGAGGGCGGGTGGCGGCCCTGCATGCCGTGACAGCTCTAACAGCGCTTCGCGGAGCCCTCATGACAGCCCTGCCAACGCCACTGCTTGGCAGAGCCTTCACCCCAGTCATGCCTGCTTGGCAGGATCCAGAGGAGGGAGGCTTTCTTATTCCCGGTTTCCCAGCTCATTCCCTTAACCTTATGGCAACCTCTCGGCTAAGCTCTGGTTTCCTTCTCTGAATGAGGGAGGCAGGAGAGTCTGGGCAAATCAGGCTTCCCTGGGTACCTGCAGCACCAAGAGGTGTCTGCCAAGCAGGCTGTGGGCAACTGAGAGTGCTGAACAAAGACCCCCATCTCTCCAAAATAAACCTCAGCCTGGCTGCTGGTGATACCCAGTCCAGGTCACTGGCTGGGTGGGAGAGGCAGCAAGTGTGACACATCTCAGGGGGAACTGGTGTATTTCGTGTGTCCAGGTCAGAAGCAAAGTGGGGAGGCGGGGCTGGTTGAAGCCGAAGGGGCTTTGTGATCCAGCAGGCAGGCACCCACCTTATTGCAGACTGTAGCTGGCAGCAGCTTGCTGCCAGACTGGGAGCAGACATGCTGAGACGCTGTGGAGGTTTGCTTGGGTTTTGGTATGGGCAGTGTTGCCATCAGTGACTTGAACATAGTTGTGTCACACCATCAGAGCATGCTGTGCTACAAGGGTTTGTCTGAATGCAAGAGCTGTAGAAGTTAATTCAGTAAAGCCAAGTGTCGCAGACTATGCTCAGGGAGCTCACTGTCCCAGCGAAGCAGGGTGCCTACGTGTGTGATGCAGGAGGTGGGGTGGGCTTGTCTGCATGGGGTTTCTGATACCATGCACCAGAAAGAAGCCAGCACTTGGGAGGAACCTCAGGAAATGTTAGGATAGCGTAACCTGCAAGAGACAGCAAGAAGGAATGAATTCCTTTTAGAGACAAGAAAGGAAAGCTTTCACATCTGTTAACACCTGCATGTATCTCTCAGGTCTGTCTTGGTACAAGAGGATGTTCAGCATTTCCTACCTTCCTCCCTGTAGATGAGAAGTAAGGGAGCCTTAGTGGAGATACTGGGGAAGAAGCTCCTCAACAGCAGGTCTAGTGGCACAGGGATAGATTTTATGAGAAGCTGGCTGAGCCTCCTCCAGGGCAGAGGGGGAAGATGTCAGAGCAAGTGGTGCAGCTCATCTGACCTGGATCTTCAGGTATGCTTGATCCTCACTGAGAGGGGGGGTGGTACGGGTTAGCTGTCCTCTCAGACTGACTTTTAGCCCTCAGGATTTAAGAAATACTTTAGTAATTGCTCTGTAATGTTCTAAAGCCTGGCTTTGGCTGGCAGCCTTGCCTGGCACCCTTCATATAACTTGATCTTCTAAACAAATCCCTAAATGTCGCAGCTAAGTGCACGAAGCAATGCTGGCTGTCCTCTTGCCTTGCCCTGCAGCACCCATGATCAGTGTGGTAAGCTGAAAAATTAGCCTGTGAAGGGGCAAGAATCACAGTCCAGCTGCTGGAAACTGGGTAAGGCTTGAAGAGTCCCATGCAGCTTGCAGTGGCTTTGTTGTTTGTCCCAAGAGGTGTGTAGTTGTTCTTGGCTTTGTGCTATATGACCAGTTCTCCTCTTTTGCCTTCTCTGAGCTGGGTGATATTGGGGATGACAGCCCATCTCCAGCTGCACGGTGGCACTGAGGCAGCTGGGTGGCCCTTCTCTCATTCTGGACTCCAGGTGGCCAGGCAGATGCCAGAATGCACAGGGTAGTGCCACTGGTTAGGTTCACAAGCAGAACTCACTGTGCTGCAGCTGACAGGGTGGCTTGCCTGGTGAATCATAAGTGAATTCTGTTGAGAGCTGAGCTTTTTTCACACACCACGGCATTAACCCCACACCTTGGCCAAGCTCCACCTTGGGTGATTCAATTCAGACACTTCAACTGCTCCCTGTCACCATTGCCAGGCGCAAGGCTCTGCTCTTCTGCCTGCAAGCTCTTGGAGGCTTGGGATCTGTTAAACAGCTGCTACTTTCACTCTTTGTCTGTTTTCCTGCTGTATGTAGGGGATTTGTATGTGGAGCTTGACTGTAAGACTGTGAAAGAGGCTTTGTTCACACCAAGCAGTTGATTTGCCAGTAAAGGTTGCTTTATTTTGCCCATCAGACCCTCTACTATGCTGGCTGCTGAGACCTCGTATGGGGTACAGAGTAACGAGTATGTGTTTTGGAATATAACAGTTACGAATGTAACTAGAGTGATGGTTCATAAGGATATGGCTATAATTAGGTCAAGCTGTCTTGTTTATTGAATTCCCATTCAGCTCCCAAACTTGGCAGTGGAAATGAACTTTGGGCCTTTTTTAGGATTGCTGTCAGTCTCTGCTGGCAAAGAACACTGGGAATGACATCCTTGCTCCTCACCTCGCTGCCAGAGCCTGTGGGCACAGGCACACTGCCATCTTCTCTCTCTCACAGGGGAGCTGAACTGCCATGGGGAACACCACCAGTGAGCGAGTGTCAGGGGAGCGCCACAGCTCCAAGTCCCACCGCTCAGATGGCTCCGGTGCCACCCACCCTGCCAAGGAGCACCCACACAAGATCATGGTGGGCAGCACTGACGACCCCAATGTTTTCAGCTCCCATGATTCCAAGGTAGGGGCTAGCCACTGCCTTCCCTGTCCTGCCCTTTGGGCTCTGTGCTCCCAGCCACGTGAGGGGCCTATGGAGAGTTGGGGAACTAGAGGTGCTCTGCAGTGCTCTTGTCTGGGATGTGCAGCTGGGCTGTAGAGGCCAGGAGGGAGTGAATGTGGTCCCGGTTGTCTCTCTGTCTTGGGCTCTATTTTTCTTACCTCAGATTCCTGGGGATAAGGAGTTTGTGTCATGGCAGCCGGATCTGGAGGAGTCAGTGAAACCATCTCAACAGGCTCGTCCCACTGTCATCCGCTGGGCTGATGGAGGCAAAGAGGTCTTCATCTCTGGATCTTTCAACAACTGGAGCACCAAGATCCCACTCATCAAGAGGTAGCCTGTCCCTTGGGTCACTCTTAATTCTCCTCTGCTCCATCATGGGAAGTGTTTCGCCTTCTCTGTGCTGGCGGCTGTTCCCTTGCTCACCCGTCTTGTCTATGTTCACCCAGGCTGGAGGGTCTGAGCACAGATATGTAGTCAGCTTCTTCCCTGGGTGGTGCTGATAAGTTGTACAACAGAGGGACAGGACAGGATGGGCCACTTTGTTTGCCCAGCTTGATGTCACACAGAAGCTTGTCCCAGCAGCAGAGCCCTACGCAGTTATCTTCTGGAAGCTGTCAGCTCTTTGCTTGGCTGTGGCCTTACCCCCTGCCTAGTTGTGTTGTTGCCGGGGGGGTTGTTTGTTTGTCCCTCACATATCTTCCTGCCCTAATGATGTTCTTGTCATTCCACAATACATGACCCTGGGCATAATCCCAGCAAATTGCCTGGAATGGGTTTATCTCAATTGTGGATTTTACAGACAGAGCTGCTGCACTTGCTATCCTCATCCTGCAGTACCAGCACAGGGTTAGATGCTTTTCCCATGCATCCTCCCAGATGTGTCTTGCAGAGGCTGTCTGTAACATCAACTTTCTCTGGACATGTGGGGCTGGACTGCCTCCTGTGCACTCCTTCCAGCTGGGCTTCTGAGGGGCTGAGCCACGCTAGTACTCTGAATGCTCACACTTGTTGTGTTGTGCCTCAGATCACTGACAATGAGCAAGCCTAACCCTGCATGAAGGCGTGGTGGTAGAGGGGCTGACAGTGCATGTTTTCTGGGACCCCGTGGAAGAGCACCATCCAGAGTATCAACAGGGTAATGCTGTTGCACCTCTCTTCTCTCTGCACAGCCACAATGACTTTGTCGCTATCCTGGACCTCCCAGAAGGAGAACACCAGTACAAATTTTTTGTGGATGGCCAGTGGGTCCATGACCCATCTGAGGTAATGCTCAAAGCTTTATCCCTGGAGACCTTGACTTCTGCAGGATACTAGACACGATGTAACTGCAACAGATGGGGGAAAAGGAATAGCAGAAGGTGTCTGCTGAAACAAAAGGGGCATCTCAATCCCATGAGTTCTTTCAGAGGCTGGCTCCTCTGGGCTTAGACATGCCATATAGGGAAGTTTCGGGGAGGTGCTGAGGGGCAGGAAAACACCGGAAAGCCTTTAATTCTTATTGAAAATTAGCTGCATGGGAAGATGGGCTATGGGGTCAGCATTCACCTGGAGGTTCTTCTCCAAAATGAATTGTGGTAGCAGCAGGGGACGGAGAGGACGCTTACTTACCCATTGGCATGTAGCAGGGTGGAGGATGAAAACAGGACGTGATGTAGGAGCATGGGAGTAAAGGGAAATCCTCCCAGTGTAAACAGCAGTGATCTGCAAGCATAAAGCAGAGCTAGATACTGGCTGCCTGTGCTCTGAGGTAATGGTGCAGCAAAGACAGCTTGGGTGGGAGGATCTAGGAAGTATTGAGTGTTCTTTGGTGGGAGATGAACATAGGAAGACTCTTACCTCAGTTCTCTCCAGCCTGTGGTCACCAGCCAGATGGGGACGATTAACAACCTGATTCACGTCAAGAAGTCTGACTTTGAGGTGTTTGATGCTTTGAAGGTGGATTCCCTGGAGAGCTCAGAAACCTCAGGTCGGGGTGAGTTTTTATACATTAGAGCTTTGCATGTGCTATTTTCCGCATCCTCTGTGCTGACACTCCCTGCTCTGGGTGTGAACACACCCCCTGAGCAGAGGTAGGGGCCTGCACCTGTGAAGAACAGTGTTTGGCAGTGTGTCCTCAGCAGCCTGCAGCTGAGTCCTTGTCCCTGTAGAGGGACTGTGCTGGTGTAACTTGTTCTGTGCTAGCACCATCGCAGAGCAGGGTCCTTGCCTGTGCATGGCTGAGGAGGCCGTTTCAGACTGGTGAACTCTGGGAACATCAGCCCGTTCTGTCTGCTCAACTGTAAGTCATGTGATCTGGGGTACAAGCTAGGTGAGAGCAGGATCTGGGTTATTTTCAGCAGCTACTCTTGCTTTTCATGCCAAGGTAATTTGTACTGGTGCTAGCTCATCTCAAGCCTCCCTCTCCACTTGTGTTACAGCAGCAGGTTAGGTTACCGTGCAGACACCGGCACTGCTGGCTTGGTGTGTAATGCTAGCAGGTAGCTCAGTTGTGTTCCAGTCCAGAGCCCTCTGCTGTCTGCCATCCCTGGTATAAACCCTGTTTCGGACAGAGCTCAGCTCCACAGCCTTGCCCAGCCTGGGCAGGAGATACTTCATTGCAGCCAGCAAGCAGCAGCACCTCCAGGGAGGTGGAGCCCTTCTTGGATGCTTGTTGTTCCAAAATGATCGAGTCAGATGTGGTCGGAAGGTACATCCAGTCCAGCTTCTAGTGACCACAAGCTCCCGTGGTTCCTCACATGGGTTGAGCAGCTGCTCTGTCTAGACCTCCCATTTGCCCTTTCTGGGACCTCCTCATCAGGCAGTCCTGCAGCACTGAGAGCATGCAGGCGTGCTGCTTGCTGTGCCCCTGCTGCACAAGGTACCGTTCTGGGCCAAGCTGGCTGCTTTTTACAGGTAGAGGGACCCAACTGTGCTGAGGGCTGTGTGCAGGGGTCTTGGGGTGGCTTCCACAGGTTGCTTTCTTTGTGTCAATGCACATACCAGCTTACAGTCCTGCTTGGAAATGCCCAGGACTCACCTGGCTGCTTTTTCCATTGTGAAAAGGATGAGCTGTTACTGTAGGATACATGGGCATGGCTCATGGAAGATGTTTGTGCCTGAAAGACCCTGCTGGATCCTTCTTAGCTTCTTGGGAAGCCAGGCCTGCTTCAGCCATTTCATGTCTCCTTCTTTCTCTTATCTTTAGACTTGTCAAGCTCACCACCTGGACCTTATGGCCAAGAATTGTATGTATACCGGCCTGAGGAGCGCTTCAAATCCCCACCCATCCTCCCACCTCACCTCCTCCAGGTCATCCTGAACAAGGACACCAATATCTCGGTGGGTACCATCATACTGCCCACACACAGGGAGCCATAGTGGGGTTGGAAGGGGAGTCCTGTCTGCAGGGACCCTGTTCTCCCCTTGGCTGGAGCCTCACCCTTGGCATTTCCTGGGAAAAGCATCACATTTCCATTAACAACGCTGGTTTGGCTCCTTACTCAGCCTGGTGCTTAGCTGAGTTCTGTTCCCGTTCAGAACAGCCAGAGACACCAGCAACTCAGATTGCCTGAGATGGCAGCTCCCTGTGGTGGCTGGAGCTGGGGGGTCAGGGCTCTGCTGTTCCTCTGTGACACTCCTCTTCTCCTAGTGTGACCCAGCACTGCTGCCCGAACCCAACCATGTCATGCTCAATCACCTCTACGCACTGTCCATCAAGGTAAGGACAGGTCCCCTGAGGCTGCTGGGTGAGGGAAGTGAAGCTGCTGTAGCTCCCAGGAGCCTGCAGCACTTGCAGGGAGCAGACAACAGGGGGCTGGAGATGGTGGTGCAGGGGTCAAAGGAGCCACACAAGGACAGCTTAGCTGCCTGGTGAAGTGTGGTGTGTGCAGGGGTGTAGGCTGTGGCTTCCTTACAGTTCTCTTTAGCTGCCTCCCTGCAGCCTGATGGAACTGGGCAGCCCTGGGCAATCCTGCTGTATACCAGACCCTTCCTTTGCACTCCTTGTCACGGGTGTTGCACATGTCTTGCTGGCTCTGAGACTCAGGAGAATAGGGACAGGCTGGGCAGCTCCTCAGGCTTGCAGAGCCCTCTTCCTGATGGCGGCTGTGGGGTGCCCCACTCCCAGGTTGGCACAGCCAGGCTGCACTGGGCTATCCCCCTCCTGCTCCCACTGACGCTGTGCCTCTCGCAGGATGGCGTGATGGTGCTCAGTGCCACACACCGCTACAAGAAGAAGTATGTCACCACGCTGCTGTACAAGCCCATCTGAGCTGGGGCCTCACCCGCCCCCCACGCAGGACACCAAACGCCGCTTTGTCTGCACACACTGGGCCACAGGACTGTGCAAGAACTGACCGCTGGCTCCAGCCTCGAACGTGGCAGGGACGTGAGCCCTGGCAATGAGCCCAGGGCCACTGCAGCTTGTGACACTGTCCGATCCTACTGGTGTGGTTTGATTTAACCCATGGTTTCTGCTCACCTACAGCTCCCCTTGGCTTCTCTGAGTCTCTGGGGCCACTTTTGCTGCTCACCAGAACACCTTTTCCTTGTGCCCAGCATGGAAAAGGCTTCACCTGCCCATCTTGTCCAGCCTGCACAGGCCCCACGGTGGTCCTGGCAGTGCTTCCAGGAACATGTCCTATCTGCTGAAGGTTGCTGTGCTGTCCTGGTGATGAGCTTCCAAGGCCACCTTGATCCCTACAGGCTGTGGGACAACGCAGCCTGCCCCATCCTGCAGCCCTGGCTATGGTGCTGCCCCACTCCTTGTGCTCACTAGCTTTGAGGAAGGGCTCTCAGCCCTGGCTGCAGCTCCAACCCTCTGCCAGGTTCAGCATTGAGCCAGCAGGAGGGAGGGTGCAGCTGGACTGGATGCAGCCACGCTTACCTGCCACTGGGACAGCACCGTCAAGGACTGAACGCACAGTCCCCAACATCGAGTGCTTCTGCAGGGAATGGCTGACTTCGTCACAGCCAGAGGGACACCGTGCACGCCATGCTGGAGGGGCCTGGGAAGAGCGGAGCAGGGCACGTATCCCAGGACCCTGGCTACACTGCTTGCTGCCAGCGCAGTGCCACACAACAGGGTTTTCTCTATTTATTACAGTATTTATTGATCTCGATGCTGCTGGCCTGATGTTGGAGGGGGGCTTTGGAGCAGGTAAAGGGGAAAAGGGAGCAAGCGAGCGCCCAGTGGGGCGCAGAGCTGCCTTTGGGGTGGGGCCATCCAGTGCCTATTGCACCTTGTTCTGTGGATAGCCTGGGGAGCACAGCTGCAGAGACCTATATGCCAGAAACACCACAACCTGCAGGAAACCTTTATTGGGGACTCTTCAGCCACTGAACAGAATGTGGCATTTCTTACATCCTCCCACACTGGGACCCCAGCATGCCTGGAGAGGCCCCAAAGTGCGGCTCTTGATACTTCTGTCTATATACATATACATACATCAAATAGCAGGGACGGGTATGCAGCAGGGTTACAAATGGGACCAAGTCCCAGGGTGAGAGGTGCTTGATGTGGAGGGCTGTACACTCCACCTTAAGTACTGTGGGTGGAAAGGGGTGAGCACTGACGCATGGGGCAGGCAAAGCCCAAGCCAGCAGCTGCTGCTGCAATACCAAGCAAAGACAGGTGGAGGGCATGCAACCACTGCAGCAGCCCAAACCCACTAGCTATGTAGCACTGGATTGCCCAGACCCCTGTCCACCCTACCCCTTGGAGTAGCAGGGACAGGGTCCTCTCCAGCCCTCTGGCCTGGCATGGCTCAGCAGCCAGCAGGCTGTTCCGTGAGTGGAGGCATTGCTCCCAGCCCTGCTCAAGCGACGGGCAGGGCCTGCTGGGCCTTCACCTGGCAAGAGAGTACATGTGTCAGTAAGAGGGAGTGGTGTCCGAGCAAGCCTGCACTGGAGGACTGCTGTGCCCTGGGGATGGAGCAGTCAAGGACAGTCAAGGAAAATAGGTCCTCATGTCCCACACATATATGTTACACCCAACTGGGCCCCTCAGCACCCTTTGCCATCCACCACTCTGCTTGCAGAGCATGGGGTGTCTGCCATCTGTGCCCACCCTCAGGGCTCACCAGGGCAGGGGCACCTGACCCTATCCCACCCTATCCGCCAGGGCAAACTCACCTCCAGGTTCGTCCTAGCCTTGCGCAACACATTGTGGGTCCTGCTCACTGTGAGGGGGAGAGAGAGGTGGTCAGTGATGTTCCCGCACTGTAGGCCCACCCCAGGCACATGAGGACAAGGCCAGCTTGGCCCTGCCATCCCACAGCAGGGTATCACCCAGGCCACATACACTGGCTGACAATGAACTGCTCCATGCTGTCCTTGAGCTGCGCCGTGCTGCGCAGCCGCTCGGCGGTGCTCTGCAGAGCGTCCTCCCTTTCAGAGAGCTGTGCCCGCAGCGCTGCGATCTCCCCCTGTAGCACCTGCTCCTAAGACAACACGAGCATGATGAGCAGCGAGCATCCAGCTCCACCACCCCGCCAGCCCCTCCCCTGTGCTCACCTTGCCCTGGTGCTGGGCTGGGCTGATGGGCAGCACAGTGCTCCAGAAGGCAGCGAGGAGAGACACGCACTGCTCCAGGATGCCGTGCAGGGTGCTGGCACTGCCCCAGAGGGGCCCTGTGCCTGTCCACTGCAGGGCCTGCGGGAAAGGGGTACGGGAGCGGGCGCTGCCAGGGCACCTACATCCCACTGCATCCAGACACTCACCCTGGCCAGCCCACCACTGCGGGGCAGTACCAACAGCAGCCCCCAAGCTGGAGGCTGCCAGCTGCTTGCCAGCCCTGCAAGCCTCAGGGCTGATATTGGGCTCAGGGGCCACTTTACACATGGTCTTCAGAGTGTCTGGCCCCCAGCCACTGCCAGCCCTGTCCTGCCCACACTTTACCTCCTTTCCCGGGAGCAGGCAGTTGGGCAGCCCAAGTGCAGGGCGCGTGAGACACATCAGCTCACAGGCCAGCGCCTTCCCCTCCAGGATGTGCTGCTCCAGGGCCCGGTAGGTGTCCAGGCAGCCAATGACATGAGCCCTCATTGGGCCCTCACTCTTCCTCACCAGTGGGTCTGCCCCACGTGGCCCTGTGGAACAAGCAGGGTTAGGTAGGACCACTGCCCGCTTCCCCTGTGGCCCTCCCTGTTCCATCCTGAGGCTTAGCTCTGCCCTGGGCTTCTCACCCTTGCTCAGCAAGGGTGCTGCCATCAGTTTGTCAGGTCTCAGCAGCTCCTGAGGCATAGGCATGGGCAGGCTCTGGGACCTACCGTCCATCTGCCGGGTCACAAACATGTCAGAGGACAGTGGGGAGAAGAGGGGTGCTGCTGAACTTGTGCCAACATCCCGCACTGGAGGAGATGGGAAGCAGCCTAGAATAAGAAGTATCTGAGCCCCTGCAGACAGTCGTGGCTCTGTGCCTGGGGCTGCTGGGGTCTTGCCCGCCCTCTCTGCTTGCCAGCAGGGCCACCATGTCTCTCCTGCTGCTGCCGCAGAAGTGCTTGGGCCTGCCTCAGGGTTGCAGAGGGGCCAGGCACCCCAAGACTAGTAGCTGGGCAGCGGGCTGGTGGTGGAGGCTGGGCGAGTCCTGTACCTGCACGGGTCTCGGCAGAGGTGCCAGGGAGGTTCTCGTAGGCGTGCAGCTCTGCACGCAGTGTCTGCAGCAGCAGGCGGTGCTCCTCACACTGCTGCTGCAGGAGCGTCACCGTGTGCTGCAGCCTGCAGGGGGTGACACATGGATCCAGTGCCAGCCAAGCCACCAGCCCTGCCGGCCCCCTGGCCACAGTGCCCCAAATCTTACCTGTTGCTGTCCTCCTGCAGAGAGCGCCGCTCCTCCCGGAGCTGCCGGACATTCTCTTGCTGCTCAGCGAGCTCCTCAGCCAGCCTCTGCTGCTTCCCGCGCCTCTGTTCCAGCTCTGCTTCAGCCTCCCGGGCTCGGGAGCAAGCAGCCACGAGTGCCTCCTGCACCCGCGTCAGCTCTGGGGACAGAGACCATGGAGGTGTCACTGCCACCACATTCAGATAATGCTCTCTCAGACACAGCCCCAGGATGCTGGCAGCCCAGCCCTACCTTGGGAGATGTGGTCACGCTGGAGCCGCAGGGTCCGGTTGTCCTCACGCAGAGCCTTGTTCTCCCCGCTCAACTGCAGCCCCAGCTCCGGTGACTGGGCATAGACATCGCTGGACAATCCTGCCAAGGGGGACCAGTGCTTATTCTCTTTCCCCAATACCCAGCCATACACAGAGTGAGCACCCTCCCCAGGCAATGGGGTGTGCAAAGCCTGGGGCCCCCCTAGCAGCCCTGGCCCCAGGGCAGCACCATACCACTGTCCTTGCCGGCAGAGGCCAGGCGGCGCTCGAGCTGCTCGCGGAGCCGGTCATTGGTGCAGATGGACTCCTCGAGCCGCTGGCGCAGGCTGCGGATCTCCACCAAGTGTTCCTCCAGCAGATCTGCCCCTGCCACAGCAATGGATATGGCTCAGGGCAGAGATGGCTGTGCCACCTGCCTCACACCATCCCCTCTAACCTATCCCATATCAGAGCCATGTCCCGCAGCTATTCTGGTGCTGGGTCTCTTCCCCATTTACCTACACCCGGGCAGGATGCCCCCATGTTCTCCAACATGGACCTCACCTGTTAGCTTCTGGATGGAGGGGTACCCTGATGGCAGGGCCCTGTAAAGTGGCTGGCCAGGAGAGGGTATGTCCCAGAGGGTGCGGGTCTCAGTGGCCCTGGGGCTCTGCAGTGCACCGTGTCGGCAGGGTGCTGCTGGGACTTTGCTGCCCTCTCTGAAGGGGCTCAGTGGGGCTGTGGGCTTTGCTGGTGCCATGGGTAGCATCATACCTGCATGCACAAGGGAAAGTGGTGAAGAGCAGGAGGGCAGTGGACAGGGAGAAGAATGGGAATAACACACTCCCGCCATGTGGTTTTTGCCCCCTTCTCTGCCTAACAGTGCAGCCCAGTGTCCCCCCCATGGTGATCCCCCATCATTCATCCCCCACCCTGGTCAAACCCATTCCCCCTGAAGAGCAGATTGTTCTGCTTGCTGGTTGCATGATATGAATTGGAGGGTGTCAGCCCCACTGCTATGCAACAACTAACAAAACAAGTCCTTCTCCAGAGGCCCCAGGATGTGCAGCTGCGCACTCCAAGGGCTAGTGCTGCCTTAGGCTGGGTCCATCCCACCCACCAGGCCCTCTTTACATGAGTGCCACAAGTTCCCACAGTGATGGGACCAAACCATAAAGCAGTGGCCCTGAGAAGCAGAAGAAAGCCCAGGGCAGGAAAGGGAGGTCAGGAGAGGGGCAGAACCAACCCCACTCTGGAGGCACACGCTCACTTTCTCCCAGCTGTCTCTGGAGCACCTGCAGCTCCTGCTGCGCCTCAGCCAGGGAGCAGACTGGGTTCCCACAGCAGCCCAGGAGCAGGGGTACTGTAGCGGGGGGCGGACCTGCAGGCAGGAATGGGGACAGCCCAGGGGCCAGTGTAGGCAGGGGGGCACTAATGGGTTTGGACAAGGAGTCAACGTGAAGGCCTAGAGACAGGAGAGAGATGGAGATAGATGTTAGCACAGCTCTGGCTCAGCCTGGCAGGGACCGCTTCTCCTCAGGGGACACTGATGCACCCCAAGCAGCTGAGTCCCCATACCTGGAGGCCCTGCAGGGTGGGACAGTCCATGCAAGGTCGGTCAGGTCCCAGCCTTGCAGGGCTGCGGTACCCTGCCTTCCCCCCCCCCCCCCCCCGAGATGCTGCCCTGCAGCTCCAGGTGCTGTGTACCCACCCTCAAGGCTGGCACAGAGGTGCAGTGCCACACAGGCAGCCCCTGCCCAGGCATGATGTGCACCCATTGCTGCAGGGACCACATGCTACAGAGGTACTGGTGCCCCCAGCCCACAGCTGTGCCCCCTGGGCACTCTGCAGTACCTGTGTGTTGGGCGGGCTCCTCACAGCACTGGCTGCACTGGCTGGCTGTGTCGCCATCAGAGCAGGGTTCCAGCCCATCAGACACAAAGGAGGAGCTGGTGGCAGAGCAGGATGACTCGGAGGGTGGGTGGCTGCTGCCTGGGGACTTGCAGCGCTCCTGCAGCTTCACCTCCAGGCTCTCAATCACCTTCTCCTTTTCCTG